CTGCGTGGAGCGACCAGGTCAGCAGAGAGGGGCAGTCAGTGAAGGGTGGCCAGGCCAGTAGGAGGGGTAGTTGGGGGCAACCGGGCCCGCAGGAGGGGCTGTGAAGGGTGACCACGCTGGCAGACGAGGCAGTTACAGGAGGCGACCAGGCCAGCAGAGGAGCAGTTGGGGGCGTCTAGGCCAGTGAGGGGTGACCAGGTCGGCAGGGGGAGGGGGGCAGTTGGGGATGACCAGGCTGGTGGGAGCAGGGCAGTTTGAGGTGACCAGGATGGCAGGGGGGCAGTTAGGGGCAATCAAGCCAGCAGCAGAGTTGGTCAGGTGTGATCAGGCTGGCGGGGGGGGGGGGGGGTAGTTAGGAGCAATCAGGCAGGCAGGCAGGTGAGCAGTTAGGAGCCAGCGGTCCCGGATTGTGAGAGGGATGTCCGACTGCCATTTAGGCCTGATCTCCAGGATCTAGCCTAAACGGGGTAGTTGGATATTCCCCAAGGGGTCCAGAATTAGGGAGAGTGCAGGCTGGGCTATGGGGACACCTCCCTCCTGTGCACAAATTTCACGCACTGGGCCTCTAGTACCTACTTTTTAAAAAATGAATGCAAAAGAGAAATTTCCTATTATGGAAAATGTGAAGGTTATATATACAAATTAACAGTTAAATTTTAGCTAACATTTAAGAAATATGTGATCAAGGATAACACTAATTTATACTCAAGAATTAAAGGAAGAAATCAAGGCCATAACGATTTAGAAGGCGACCAGAAAAAGATGGCAGCTGGCAGGATGGAGCTGAGAGGGAAGTGAGTGAGTCAAGGTAGGAAAAGAGTGTGTGTGGATGTGTGTGGGGTGTGTGGGAATGAGTGAGGGAAAGTTAAATCTCACAGGAGCAGCAGGAGCTGGCAGAAAGCATCTCCTTGATAAGGAGAGACTACCACCGCTTTGGGCACTCCCCGGATGGTGGGATTCCAGCATGGAGCCCACGCCATCTTGAAAGGGAGAACGGCCTTTTTTAGAAACTCATCAATACCACCAACAAAACAGGCCTTGGAACTGCCCCGTGACCCAGCACCCAACCGAGCCAATATCCTGCTACCCCAGCTGCAGACCCACAGACCTCCACATCCAAAGATATACCATTTGCAGCAGCTAAAATAACTCCAAGACTATGTGGATTCCTGCAATAGAGAGGAATTGACAGGACTGCTCCAGCCATGAAGACAGAAGAGAAACAGTCCAGAGATGGAAGATGCTGACAACGTCTTGCCATACTAGCAGACAGCAGCTGTGCTCCGCTGAAGGAAGCCCAGGACCAAAGCAGAGACGGTCAGACCCACATCACTACCATTTGTCCACCACCCAGAACTGAAATATCATTGCTGACATGTACACACAAGGAAATGTTTGACACTGAAATTGGGACTCCAAAGAACTGTTGGCCCAGGAAGGAACTCACTAGACTGATTCATTTGCCTCTCAGCAAGTAACCATTATGGCTTGTCTCATTTTTGGTTCTTATAAGTGTATTTCTTGTATCACATGATCTCACACATCTAAGGGAAATAATGAACAACATAAGCTGAAGAACAAAAACAAACCTAGTGACAGGGAAGCATCAATCAGACTGTCAAACCTCGGAGGGAAGGCAGGGGAGGGTGGAGGAAAGGGGAAGAGATCAACCAAAGGACTTGTATGCATGCATATAATCCTAACCAGTGGTCATGGACAATAGGGGGATAGGGGCATATGTGGGGAAGGGTTTGGGATGGGAATAGGGGGATGAGGACAATTATGTGATACCATAACCAATAAATAAATTTTAAAAAGAAAAAGAAAAGATTTAGAAGGCAATGGAGGCTACAACTTATACAGATCAAGAAAAGTGGTTCTGAGAATCTATCCATGTTAAAGACCATTCCACATCCAACTGTCTGAAAGAAAGGTAGTTCTCTGATGACCTTAGAATACAACACCAAACCCTGGTTTTTCTCAGTGCTTTCCAATGGCATACTTAAAAGTATAACATTTGTAAGGCATCTAGGAAAGAGGAGCTACTAGTTAAGAGGCAACAAACCAAGAGGCTCCAGCCACTTTTATTCATGGCACATAGCTTGGGAAGCTCTCAGTTAGAGCAGCAAAAGAGTAACCTGTACTAGTAAAATAAACTCTACCTATATGAACATCATAAAAACAAGAAAGTTATAAGTAAGCAAGGGAATAATTTCTGAGTACTCAGATCGAACAAATCAATAAATAATGAGTCCCACCCCCAAAACACACAAAGTAACTTCCTGCAAAAAAAATCCCAATCAGCTTACTCTTTATTTACTATGCTCATTTCTTATTAAAAAATAAAAAGTGAAATATAAACCTTTTGGAAGTATAAAAGATGTATTTAAATACAAGTGATTGCAAATCAAAAGCCGCAAAAACTCTTCTACAAAAGCCATCCTTTCCCCCCCTACTATTACTAGCATTCTGATTTATGAACACTCTTTAAAATATTGTCAATATTTCTTTGTTAGCTATACAAATGGCCATGGTACACCTTTTTACTAGTTATCTATTCTTTCTTAAAAACCACAAGTTTTTCTTGGGATATCAGGGGCAGGTATTTCAATTCATTTCTAGAATTTATCTAAGGTAAAGGATTCTAAGATGTGACCAACAGACAAAATGGGTACAAAACAGTTTTTAGCAAATGAGGATTTTAAAGATAACTATAACTTGGAAAGAACTTTGTAAATTTATAGACTCAACAGTCAAAGAGTACTTCTTTCTTACATGAATAAAAAAAACTAGAACTCAGCAAACAGAATTAAAATAAAACCAATCCATAAAAACATTCATAGAAATGGACATTAAGAATTCCAAAATGCAGTAATAATTAAAAAAAAAAAAGACTATATACTTCAATTGTGTATTGTTTCAGAAATATCTTGGTTAAAAGTGTCTTACCCAGCAGAGGGGGTTAATTAATCTACTTATTTCAATGTCACTGTCCTATTTGTCTTGAAATTCCACAAGACACTGCTGTTTTAAATTTATAACATGCATTATTGCCTCTGCATTTAATCATACAAGTCCCCATAACCTAAAATGCTTTACTATATATCTAATCTCTGCAAGAAATATGGCAACCCTCCAAGTGAATAACTTTTCCTTCATGTCTACACTGAGATATACTGATTATTCCTGTTACCCAGATAACAAGCTTCCGCAAGAAGAAATGGTCAAGTGAAACAAGTATTCTGATTCCTAGTTAGTGCATCTTTCAGAAGAATGTATTTTCTTGTTAGTCTATAATAATTCTACACCTAAGAGCTCCTTTTAAGTCCTGCCATAGGGGCTAAGTTTGTGCCCTTTCTGAATCCCAGGTTTATTTATACTAGCTTTATGTCAAAGCCACAATGACCAACACCTAATCCATCCATCTGAGCTGATTCTGATCAGCCAAAATCCTAGTTATACAGATTAAGTCACTTATTAAATTACCCTAAAATAAATCTGTCCATTAATACAGCCAATATTTTAGATCATTACTATTTTATACTCAGTTTCTAAAATCAACAACTTCTCCTTCAACAACATTTCCCAGTACCATTAGCTTCAGATGAGTAGCATTATAGTCCAGGACAAGTAACCATAAGCTCTTTCTTAGAAGTCTACAAGGCCTTATTTTAAAATAGAGGCCTGGCGCACGGATTTGTGCACAGGTGAGGTCCCTCGGTCTGGCTGGTGATCTGGGCCAATCAGGCATGGACAGCTTGGGGGAGGGACAGTGGGAGGTTGGCCAGCCACAGGAGGTTGGCTCTGGAAGTGCACACTGACCACCAGGGAGAAGCTCCTGCATTGAGTGTCTGCCCTCTGGTGGTCAGTGCATCATCATATAACCGGTCTTAATGATTGCATAGGCTTTTAAATATATTGACTAGCAATAGTATGTGCCAGCTACCATCTTATGGAAAGCCACAATCACCTTTAGATATTGAAGTTTCTGGTTCACTGAGATTCATTGTTAGAAGTGAATCATAAGCTCATAAAACTCTAGAGCTGGGAGACTTTCAAGATAACTTAGGATAACTCTCCCTTTCACTGAGGCAGAACCAGGGCACAAGAAAGTTAGTTTAACAAGACAAGTTAAATTACTGAAATAATTCAATAGTAAAATTATTCAGAAACCAATAACCAAAATTAAAAGTAAATTTATTTAAAATGCTCAGGCCCTAACTGGGGTAGCACAGTTGGTTAGAGCATCCTCCCAATATGCAAAGGTTGTAGGTTTGATCCTCAGTCAGGGTACATAAGAGAATCAACCAATGAATGCATAAATAGGTGAAACAACAAATTGATGTTTTTCTCTCTCCCTCTCTCTCTCTCCCCTTTATTCCCTTCTCTTTTAAATCAACAAATTAAAAATAACTTTTTAAAATGTTCATGTATGAAAAATTTAGAATTTAAAATACATTTCCAATAGAAGAAAACATCATAGATGCTAAATGAGCTCACAAACCAGTCCACAAATATATTTTCATGTGCCATAAAATGATTACTCTTTTTTGATTATTTTCAATTATTTAAAAATGCTAAAACCTACTCATGGGCCATACAAAAACAGGTGGCAGACCTGGATTTGACCTGTGGACTACAAGGCTTGCCAGCCTCCAGTCTAGAAGATAGAGGGGAGAAGGAGAGGCAGGGTGTACCTGGCTTAATAACGAGGGGTACTATCCAGGAACACTTCCATTAAACCTAACCACAAAAGCAGTTCTCCTCAAACATGTGTGCATTAATGTAAATTCCAGTTGCAAAAAAACAAACAAACAAACAAAAAAAACAACCAACCAGGAATAGTTAGTTCATTGTGCTTAATATTAAAAGGATTCCAGAAACATAACCATTAATCCTGGGCATAAATAACTCATAAATTATGGCACACTAATCATTATTTTAAATTAATAATTCATCCTATGTAAGCTTAAAATTATAATAAATGCATTATCAGTTACCATTTTGTCCCTGAGCCGCTCTCCACGAATAAGAAAGTCAGCGCAGCCATCCTCTTCCTGGTGGGAGGCTCTGCAGACAGTGACGCAGCTCAGTCCACTACCTCCGAGGGGTAGCCATCCGCCGCTGGAGTCATCCCGGGTCATCACCACAGCGCGCACTCGTGCATAACTATTACTAAAACAAAGGCAAAGATTATAGGTTAGTTTCTCTGTAAACAAAAACCAGCCAAGCTTCCAGTCTTGTTTGAGAAATCAAAGACCACATCAGTTAAAGTGCTTAGTACTTCTTTCATGGTAGTCTACAGAAAGTAATCTACTTGAAAGATGTCAAAAACCACAAAATAACTTAAAAGGTTAACCTTTATTTTAAAGATCAACCTCACAATAAAAGACTACAGAACTCTTATTTCAATTAATCATTTGAATAGTTCAAGCACATTTGATTGTCATGGAACAAATTAAGAAAAAACACAGAGACAAACACTGTCAAACTACACAGGCCCTCATCAAACCTGTCTATATATTTCACCTGCTGCAGCACGACCAGGACAAAATACTGCTATATTTTAGCATATTTAATAGCGACACCTATAACCTTCTAACGTTTCCGGAATTTATTATAAATAAATTCTGAAACTCGGACACCATGTTTTTTATATCTTCTCACAGTTTGGAATCTAAATCACATGAATCATATAAAGACAAATGTTCTGTTTCAGTGACTTATCAAGTAATTGAAACCTGAATTTCATGCCTTCTTTTTGGAAGACTATTCTTAACAGACTGCATTCTAGATCCATTCAGAATCATTTCCTAATATTAACCACAAATACTCCAGGACTGGGCCTAAAGCGGCAGTCAGACATACCCCGAGGGGTCCTATATTGGAGAGGGTGTAGGCTAGGCTGAGCGGACCCTCCCCCGTGCATGAATTTTATGCACTGGGCCTCTAGGTTTTTATATAGAAGTTTTGAAAGTGTTTAGCTTTACAGGTGACATAACTTTTTTTATTTTTTTTATTTTTAATATATTTTATTGATTTTTGTACAGAAAGGAAGGGAGAGAGACAGAGAGCTAGAAACGTCGATGAGAGAGAAACATGGACCAGCTGCCTCTTGCACACCCATGCCCGCAACCAATGTACATGCCCTTGACCGGAATCGAACCTGGGACCTTTCAGTCCTCAGACTGACACTCTACCACTGAGCCAAACCAGCTTCGGCAACAGGTGGCCATTCTATCCAAACTTTTTATTATTCAGATATTCTGAAGCTCTAATTCTTATTCAGGCTGAATTCTTATCAATCTTTAACTCATCGAGTACTGCTCAGTGGAGGTGTGGGTGCATAAAAGCTGGACTGAAATATACCAAAACCCAGCACCTAACTTAGACATATTAGGTTTAAATATTTGTGAACTAAATTCATAAATCTGAAGCTCAACACATTTGAAATTCAGTGAAGTTACCAAGTCACAAAGGTAGAAGTGGGTCAAAACCTAAATTCAAGGTCTTAATAATCATTTAAGTGTCTATTTACTATAGAGCCCTGACTCTTCTCGCTTGTCTAAATATTTAATCAACTAGAAAATTTAAGAACTTTATACTAGATTATTTAAGACTTGGAGTAAAATACCCAGTGCAGAAGCCTAGGGTACATCTTGACCTCAGAGTGGGAGAACAGTTGTTCTCTTTAGGGCATAGACTCTTATCACCTTTGAATCTTTCTCTCATTTACAATTTGTATAATGGTTCTCAGACGTATTTTATATTTTAAAAATATACATAAGATTACTTTTAAAATATTTAAAAACCTAGTGGTTACTTTATGATGGTGAAATTTGATATTTTCCCCTTCATCTCTCAGTTTCTTCGAAAATTATTTTTATTCATATTTATAAACTATAAGTAATTTAAATAAATTAAACCCCATTTTTAACTGCCTTTGGTTTTATACAAAACTAGAGGCTTGATGCATGACATTCTTGCAAGAGTAGGCCTTCCTTCCCCCGGCTGCCTGTACCAGCTTCCCTCTGGCACCTCTGGCTTCCCTCACAGCCCTGGCTTCATCAGGAAGGTCATTCGGTCTAATTAGCATATTACGCCGTTATTATTACAGATACTATAAACATTTTAGAATGTTATTTTTATAAGTGTATAAATATGTTCCAAACAAAAGTATCTCTAACATAATTCCTATCAATACCTCTAATTTATTTTATTTTATAAAAGTACCACCCTGAAAAGATGTGCTGTACTTTCTAGGAAAATGGAATAAAACAAGTTTCCTAACTGGAAGAGTAAAGTTGCCGATTCAGTGTTCACCTTAACATAACAAAAGTGTTTTTTTTTAAACTGGCCAGTAAATTAAATAAACTTTTTTCAATCTCATGTTTTCAACTATCCCAAATATATAACTTTTTCTCTTATCTATTCAAGTTGTTCCTTCAATCTTTAAAGTACTGCAAAAACCTATGTAAATCTGTATTCATCCTCCCATAGCCTTCATTAGCTTCTAATTTAACAACTCAGCTTTCAACTTCAAAACCTAAGATTAGAATACCATAAAAGTCAAGCTGTTTAATATTGTGTGGGGCTTTTTTTTTTCAGACTTTCATTCTTGACAAAGTTAATCTTTTCCACCAGTTTTTCATCTCATAACCTCCTTGCCTTCAAACGTCCATCCTTTTTTCCCAAACGAAAGCAGTAACTTTTTTGTCTAAAACATACAACCACTCCTAAAGACTAATGGCAGCTTTTACAAACTCTGTCAGGCTTTTTTTTTTTTTTTAATATATTTTATTGATTTTTTACAGAGAGGAAGGGAGAGAGATAGAGAGCTAGAAAGGTCGATGAGAAAGAAACATTGACCAGCTGCCTCTTGCACATCCCCCACCGGGGATGTGCCCGCAACCAACTTACATGCCCTTGACCGGAATTGAATCTGGGACCTTTCAGTCCGCAGACCTATGCTCTACCGCTGAGCCAAACTGGTTTCGGCCAGACTCTTTCTTGTAGCAGAGTAAAATTTGCACTTGTCATTACCTCCTTAGATAAAAGTGACCTAAGGGCACAAAACCAAATCCTATTCTTTTATTTAAAGTACTTAACAAACTATTTTGTCCTGATTATGCAAGCAATAGAAGCCCATTCCAATAAATGTGGAAAATAAGTAAAAGTAGTATTTGCCATTATGGAATTAATATTCCAAATTTTGTTAGATTTTTAATTTCTGGGTATCATATTTGCAAGGTATTCTTCTCTGACACAACAGCCATTTATAATAACAACGTGCTCTCCGAATTTCACTCTTGAGTGTCTTTAAAATATTTAGTTGAAAAGCATTTGTTCCAACTGATTTATTCAAAAAGACAAATCTGACAAGAATTTAGTTCTTTAGTATTATTTTCGAAAATACTTCCAACTACAGCTCTATTCTTCACTTTGACAATGAACTACATAATAACCACTTTTTCAGCCTAGCTTTCATTCTAATGAAGTGAAGAGACTCTTGTAAAATGATGCTTGGTTTCCTTAATTTTATTCAAAATCTAAATTGAGCCTCAATTGTTACTCTCTGGTATTATTTGAACAATTACCTCAAATATATTCTTTCATGCCATAGTAGGCTATTTAGAAATCTAGGTGAGAGAAAATGTTGGATTGAACTAGGGTTATAATAATGGACACATATAAATTGACTGATTTGGGTCGATGTTGAAGGAAGATCCAAAATAACTTGATGAGGTTATAACTATAGTAAGTATTCTAAATTATCTAACATTCTTAATAAACTATGACCTTTATTTTATATAATTTTCAACTGGCATTTCAATAAAGTTAAGGCAAAATGAGGACCAAACACAAAGATAAATGGGCTCTTAAACCTCCTATAAAATTATTATCAAGCCTATAAAATATCCACTCATCTACCTTCTTGCTCTTTTCATAAATTCCTTTTAATATAAATACTCATTCTTTGCCAGTTATGTGAATCATAAATCTGTGGCTTCTTTTATTTTTAAATGCTTTTTAAAGAACAAAGCTTTTATTTTACCGTGGTCAAATATATTTATTTTCCTTTATGATTTATACTGTTGACTTTTTTTTTAAGATCTCATATTCACGTATTATAAGCCCTTTACATCCTAGTTAAGAAAACCTTTTTTCTTTTGAAGTTATTTTAGCAAGCAGAATACTCTATTTTCTGTGAAAGTAAGAAAGTCCCTCAAATCACCTATGCCAAGCAGAGCAAGTACTCATGTGTTTACTAAATTATAACACACACTAGTCCTTTTCCATTGCCCTGAAATGGAATCCACTTTGGTCTTTGTTTCTCAGCTACATATGCTTCTCTGTTGGTCTTCACAGCTGTTGTGTAGTGCTGCTGAATTGAGACTTATCTCCATTAATTTCTTTTCATATATAGGGCTCCTTCTCGTCCAGCATGGTTCTGTACAGAAAACTTCCCTCTCCCATACCTAAACTTAATCCAACTTCTAAACCTTTCTGCCCTTTCATAGTTTAAAACTTCCAGGTTTTTGTTTGTTTTTTTAACTTCACTGATATGTTAAACATTACTTCAAACAGTTATCAATTATATCTTTTCAAAAAAAAAAAACCTGGCAAATTATTACGATATTGCCAGTACTCATCAGTTATGTACCTTCTTAATAAGTTTCCTATCAAAAGAAGGTATTTAATAAAGATTTACACAAGTTAAAAGCACAGAAAAATTTGTAACATGGAGAGACTATAGGTAGAAAGATTACTAAAGTTGTTATAATAAATTTTACATAATATCTTAATAAAAGGTTATTTATAGACACTAGAGGCCCAGTGCACAAAATTCATGCATGGGGAGAAGGTCGTCTCTCAGCCCAACCTGCACCCTCTCCAATCTGGGACCCCTCAAGGGATGACCAGCTCACAATCTAGGATTGCTGGCTCCCAACTGCTCTCGCCTGCCAGCCTTCCTAATTGTTCCTAACCACTTCTGCTTGCCAGCCTAATTACCTCCTAACCACACCTCTGCCAGCCTGATAGATGCCTAACTGCTCCCCTGCCAGCTTGATTGCCCCTACTGCCCTCCCTTGCAGACCTGGTCCCTCCCAACTGCCCTCCCCTGCTAGTCATCTTGTATCCACATGGGGGCAGCCATCTTGTGTTGGAGTGAC